AAAAAGATCTACAGGCACTGATCTATACACGGTGATCTACATGCACTGATCCACAGGAACTGATCTACAGGTACTGATCTACACACAGAGATCTACATGCATTGATCCACAGGAACTGATCTACACACAGTGATCTACACACACTGATTTACATGCACTGATCTACACATGGTGATCTACATGCACTGATCCACAGGAACTGATCTACACACAGTGATTGACACGCACTGATCTACATGCACTGATCTACACGCGGGGATCTACATGTACTGATTTACACACAGTGATTTATGTGCATGGATCTGCAGGAACTGATCTACACACAGTGATCCACATGCACTGATCTCCAGGAACTGATCTACACACAGTGATCTACATGCACTGATCTACAGGAACTGATCTACACTCAGTGATCTACAGGAACTGATCTACACTCAGTGATCTACATGCACTGATCTACAGGAACTGATCTACACACATGATCTACATGCACTGATCTACACGCAGTGATCTACATGCACTGATCTGTAGGAACTGATCTACACACATTGATCTACAAGCACTGATCTGCAGGAACTGATCTACACACAGTGATCTACATGCACTGATCTACACGCAGTGATCTACATGCACTGATCTACACACATTGATCTACATGCACTGATCTGCAGGAACTGATCTACACGCAGTGATCTACATGCACTGATCTACACACATTGATCTACATGCACTGATCTGCAGGAACTGATCTACACACATTGATCTACAAGCACTGATCTGCAGGAACTGATCTACACACAGTGATCTACACGCACTGATCTGCAGGAACTGATCTACACACAGTGATCTACATGCACTGATCTACAGGCACTGATCTACACACAGTGATCTACAAGATCTGATCTACGTACGGTGATCTGTGAAAAGCAATGTAAACATGTGGACCTACAAACCGATCTACACACACAGGAGACTAAGCGGGTGTGTGATCCACAGAGGGGGGAGGAGGGGGTGTGTCAGCTGACTGGGAAAGATTCCAGAGAGTCATAGTGTGTGTGTGTGTGTGTGTGTGTGTGTGTGTGTGTGTGGGCAGGGGAGGGGACATATAGAGGGGGTCCCCTGAGGGAAACCAACTGGACCAGGAAGGATAACCTGAGGTTCTGGGGGCACTACCAAACTAGATGCTTCCAGTCCTTACTGACTCGGGTCCAACAGGTCTGCAGGTCCATGTAGTCACATGGATTCCTGAATCAGCCCCAGCAGAACCAGAACCTCACACTGATCCAGTTCTGCCTACCCACACCTGTACCAACCCACTGGTTCCATGTTTGAACCTCCTAGAACCCAAGAACAAGAAAAGAGGTACTGACCGTCCAATGAGAGCCAGTCTAGCTGGGAGCTGGGCAGAGAGCTGGCGTTCCTCGCTCTGTACTCGAACAGAACCGACGACGACACAGAACCTCCAGAATCCAGAACCTGCAGACACACCAGACCCGCCTCGTGGGCTGGAAGAGAGGGGAGGCACAGTACGTCGTCATCATCATCATCATCATCATCAT